ATCACGTTTAGTGGTCACTTGGAAGAAAAGAGGAGTGGGTCGATATTTATTTTCATATTGCGGTGGGGATTTAATGCTACATATACGTGATTTCACCGCCTGAGTCAATGTATTTACTAAACAGAGGTGGATTTTGAAGTTGACGAAAATCATTTGCTGTTCCACTTTTCTGCCAGCTTGATACTCCTCATCCATCTTATTTTTGTTCTACTTTATAGACTGATGCGTCAATGTACCACCTGGCTCAAATTGGGACGAGATGGACCGAGTTCGCGTCGAAAAACACTTCCTAATTTCGGGTATTTTATTCTGCTTCTATTTTCATTCTTTTTACGCAGTAAACGAAGATATCTCTATTGATTGATATTCAAAATTTGATTATTATTATTATCGCCATTGAGAAAGTCACTTCAAATCAAAACGATTGAGTGCTGATTAGCTGTGATGTAATCGATGGGGTAATCTTACCGTATAAATTAAATATTTGAAACTGAATGGGCGAACATTTATCTATTTATTTATTTCAAATGGCAGGCATTTTGAAAGTTATCATTAGCCCTTTAGTTGACTTCGGGCTTCACAGAATGGAGGAACATTAAGGTGAGAAGAATTCGACTGGGGAAAAGAAGAGCGATTTAGAGATGTAAAAGACAGACAGACACAAAGGCAGAGAAAAGGCTAGATGAGTACTGTGAAGGGGTCGAACATGACATACAGTGGGGTCATGGTAGCTTGAAGTCAGAGGTCAACTACCGGTTAATAGACTTTTTTGCCGTATGAGTATACGTTTCCCCAGGGTGCACCACGTGGAGGTAAGTCCATCGCACACCCGCGATAGTATAATGGGCGAACAATGTAATCACGAGGTTTCCAGTTTCGCTAGGTGGTGTGACACTGGGTACGATTTGAAGGTTAGAGCCACTTTTTGGCAGCATTTGAACTTTGAAGGAGCTATTGAATTAAGAATTGGGAGTTCTTAAGGTATTTCGAAGTTATACTTCAGTCCCTTGCATTTGGGCATTCAGAACACTCGAGGAAAATTGCTGTTGTTCTCGCAAATTCAGAATGTTCGAAGATCGAAGATACTCATTAGCATCTCTTAGAGATGCTAACGAGTAACACGGTGAATGCATCTTATTTTTTAACTAGAGAATATCAAGTCATAAGTCGCAACTAATATGATTCAGTGAATGCAAGTAATTTGCTGGTAAGACAGGATAGAGATGACACTCGGTTAACAAAAATTTCTCTCACTTGTAAGCGGTTTGCGTACTTCTAAAACCCCTGGTCTTTCACAGCTTTTTGGGTGAATGTACGTCATTCGCGTAGTCAATACCTACTAAAGAGTCACCCATGGATCTGGACTTGTGGTCTGGGCATGACCTCATACTGACCTCACATCCATAAGGTCTAGCCACTTATAAATCTCAGACCTCATCGATAAACATAAATGTGATCACAATCTGTGCAGTTAATTTTCAAGAGAGGAGGTGAGGTGGGGGGGGGGGGGGGGGACGAAACGTATGGGGATCCTTTAATTTGAGAAGGATCTTGGTTGCTAATGCGACTTTGAAATTTGCGCAGGATGATTCATCGCATACCACAGAATGGTGCTTAAAAAGAGAGCATTCCATTTCGATTTGAAAATTTCGTGTAGAAAAAGCTGCTGAGCTTAATCAATAGGGGGCTAACAGACTACCTAAGTCATATATTTTACGAGGACTTGGTGATGTCGTTGCTATCGCGTTCTATTTGAGTTACTCCGTTAGATGGACTTCCTAGCTGACATTATTTTTGGAATGAAGTGATTGTCAATAGGGAGGAAAGTAATAATTATCGTAGAGTAGCTCTGACGAGAATCTCACGTCATATCATTGATCTGCTAGTGCTGATCATGGCAGTAGTCAACAAATGTGTGTGTGTGTGTTCAAGATGGTAATTAACTCGACCATTGTCCTGAAAGGCACTCTCACTTAATACTATGTCATCTCCATGTAAACTCCCCTTTTATTTGTCAGCACGTTCGAGCCAGTACCTTTCGTGTAAACTTATTATTGCTACCGTAAAGATGTATGCAAATCTTTTTACAACGAGGTGGCTTTTGAATACACGAAGTGGTAAAATGAGCTAGTGGGGGTGGGGGGGTGGGAGGTATTGCTTTTTTTGAGTTTAAGACGTTGTTAGTTGTACGCTTTGAAGAGACTTCCGATCATTTCAGGGTTGGGACTTTTGCGCTTAACCTCAGAAGATCAGAGTGTGTTCGTTCGCGCCTGCCAAATTCAGATATTCAGACCAGTTGATTAACTTGAATGACGAATCATGTCACTTTGATCTACTTATGGCTATCAATAGGAGAGGAGGGGGGGGGGGGACATTCAGACAACGCCGAACTAACTAGAATTAATTCAAACGGAATTCGAGTATATGGTTAATGTAGAATATATTATTAGATATACTACTCGAATACTAATGATCTCATGTTTGCTTAAATAAATTATACATTGGCTGCATTAATCTTTAAAAATTACAACTTGGCTATGCACTTATTGCTTTGCATTGTTTTCCACTGAATGTATGATACTTCACATGATAATTGCACTTTCGATTTCATAACTATTCTATGAAAAACAAAATGATAGTGAAGAATCTTTTGCTACTGATGTCGAATTTCAGAAAGAAGACGATGGGAGTGAATTTGGCTGGTCCTCCTTTGCCGCGAGTTCCTGGTGCTGCATCAGCACCAGATGCGGAATCGTCAGCAGTGACAGCGGTAACGGTACCAATAATGCCTGAGGAACAGTCTCTCCTCACCTGCAACTCGCTTTCCACCTCTGATCAACGATTGTCCTTCACTGCCTCCACCCATCTGCCAATTCTTCCTGAATCCTCAGTGGCCCCATTCCCACCTCCATCGGCTTCTCCCCTCAAACCCCCTCTTCCCGACCTCGCCACTCTTTCCCTCTCCTCTCACTCCGCCTCTCATCTCATTGGACGGCGCTTCCATCCTCACTTCTCTTCTTCCTCACTCTCGAGAAAAAGTCGCTCTTTTCCCTCTCGACTTTCTGCTGAACCTATTCCTGAAGTTGTTGTGTTGGAGGACATGGCGGCTAGCGAGCAAAATGAATCCGCTTACCAGTAAGTTCTGAGATTGCATAACCTTTTTATTCGGTTCACACTCCATGGCACTAGTGGTAAGAATACGGTTCCCTATTTTGATCCACAGTAGCAGTGAGTGCAGGAATCTAAATTTTACCTAGGCGCAGCGAGGCAGAGATTAATGATGCTTGATAAATGATACTCTGCAGTTGTGCTTTGCTGTAAAATGCAGTTATTTGAAGGTAAAGCAACTTCGTCTTAAACTGTTTGGTTTGAAGGTGCAACATTTGCAAAACTCACTATCAGCATACACTATACTAGTGGTATAATCCTAATTAGCAAAAGTTTTCATAAAAGAATGTCTTCAAAATAGCGGCTAGTTGGATGGTCATAGCTTTTATCTACTAAGCTGGAATTTCACGGTATTTCTTATTAGTTATAGGTGAGATATATTTGTTTTCTTCTGTGAAAAAGTATTTAAGATTGGACTCTGTCCTTCTCGCCATGGAAGATTCATTACATACGCATTCATTTCTGAATCAATTCATCTGCTTTTTGTTCGTTAGGTCACCGAACAAATCCACCGATGAATCCCTTGACACAGAAGATAGTCCACCAACACCAACTCATAATTCTAACACAGATTCAGTCGCAGCTGCCACCGACCCTATCAATCACTATCTGCAGCTCAACGTTGGTAAGCTGTCCAATGAAACGAGACATAAAAGTCCAACTACTGAATACAAATAAGTAGACCATTCTTTCTACTTTCAGATAATCTTGTTGGTACACATATCAAGAGCATAGCGAAGTACACAGCTGGCGAGAGCCTAGAGGTAAATGGAAAAGGTGGCAAAGTAGGCGACGATCGTTTGGGAAATCTTCAAAGTGCAATTCCCTCGGAGGAGACCATCCACCATGTTCTTGCTTATCTCTCGAGTATCACGAGGCCGTCAAAAGCTGCTGGAATTGGAGAATGCGAGACACCGCGTTCTGGAACTGTCTCCTCAGTGTCTAGACAGCCTACTGTCAAGTTTTCTCCAAACACACTTATGATACCAGCTGACCGTAAGTTTGTTGATGCATCTCATTTACTGACTGTACATTTTGACATCTGACAACTTTGTCAAGTTTTTTAAGATGATTTTGTCTGATTCTCTATAAGGAAATCATAGCTTTAGGCTTATTACTATATAGATAATTGTCATAAGCCGTATCAGTTTTAATTTATCTGAGTTTAGCTGCACGAAAGTAAACGACATTTGGGCTAAGAAATATTAGTGACGTCACCTACCCTTTAAATGGTTCTTCGGAAAATGGTCATGTATGCAATGAGAATGAGTCAAAGAGAGAAGAATAAAGGTCTAGATGACGATACCGGAATAAGGTACTAAGTACCTGGGAAAAATATATGAGCAATGTATTGCACCATACTACAATAAAGGCCTGGCCGAATTAGGCTTGGGAATCACCTCGCAAAACTACTGATTAATTTTTCTCAAAATGGCCTATCCCAAAATGATGAAATCAGGATTTAAGTCAGACAAATGTGGTTGGGAGAAAGAAGTAGAAGGAGATTTTGTTAATTGTTAGTGAGTGAAGAGGGGGGGGGGAGGGTAGCGCTTCCCGTGATGATAACGAGGAATTATGGACAAAAATTGATGATTACGTTGTTTAGAGGTACATGTCATTAAATCTGCACTACAAGTCTCGTTTCAGCAGTTTTATTTATCGATCCACTAAACAAGCTTGGGCTACATTTGGGACAGATCTGGAGAGGTAAGACGGAGCCAGGGTTACTCAAAGACGCTATTTCAACTTCACAAAGTTTACCCAATTAATTCAAGTCTTATTCATTCCATTGATCTTCATACTCAAGTCACGTATGTGGTGATAATAGATTCACAACAAATAACCGCCAAGGTGTCGGAAACGCTGTGCGCATCGGTATATCAATATAGTCAGGGAGGTGGGGAGGGGGGGTCGACTTTAGTCCACCCAGTCCTGATAGCTTATGCTAAAGCTCAACATTATAATTACATTTGTTGTGGGCTTATCTTTGTCAGCTTTTCAAAACCATTAATTCCTTAATCTTTCACTAATTGGTATATTTTTTCTCTTCTCCCTTTCAGAAGGCCGTGATGGAGTTTACATGGATTCGCTCATCTTTGGAATCGACAGACTTACCACCAAAGTAGGATCCCAATCTTCTGAAATAAGTCGAAGTTCCTCAACCAAAAAGATGTCCTCATCTGGTGGAATAGTTCAATTACGTCGTCCAAAACGAGGTTTCAGTGGCTACACCTCACAAAATGGAAATAATCTGGGGATTTCTAGTGGAGGCAGCGGTGGAAGTATGAGTTCCAATAACCGGAGTCGGATCTACTCCCATCGAGACAATGACGAGTTATTCGCTGATCTGACATACGTACCAGCTGGATCATCAAATCACACGATGCTGTGTGTGTGTCAAATGTCAAAAGGATCAATCTGTGAACGATCTTCCGTATCATTTGAAACCAGTCATAAGTCAATGGTGGAAGAATCTTGTTGCGCTGATGAGAATGATAAAGACCGTAAGCGGCCCAGAACCGCGAGTGATACCGGAACTAAGTGGAAAACCAGCGTAACAGCTCCAATTCGCTTCCTTCCTTCTACTACCCAGATTGCAGATGCTGTTTCAAGACCACGGGCTCGATCTCTAACACATCAGCTTGCAACAAAACCTCTGAGTCAGCCGATTGGAATGAAGGATCTTGAAAACATGCCCTCTGGGATGGTTTATAATGGGGGTGTTCAGTTAGGATCTCGATCAAGTAGTACAACGTCCACTTCTAAGAATATCCGACGAGCCTTAGAGCATGTACTTGGAAGACCCCGTTCTGCAGAAGAAGGGAATGGTCTTATTCCATGTGTGACATCTCCAAGTCACCAATATAATAGTAATACTAATAGCAGCAACAACAGTAATAGTGGTAATGGTAATATCAAAGGTGTTTCCAGTCAAGATAAAGGCCGCCTTCATGATTCAGATATTTATGTGGAGCTGGATTTCCCACCACCGATTCAATCCACTCAAACAGCGAGGAATGAAGTTACTTCAGAAATGAGGACTGCCCTAAGGGGTTCCCTCCTGGTAACACCGTCTGATTCTCTCTCTTCCAATTCCTCCTCTCTATCCTTTTATGGAGGTGGCGGAAGTGTAAATAGTGGGCGTCAGTCTCTGCCGACCTTTCGAAATACTAACGGTGGTGGTGGTGGTGGTGGAATGAACTTTTCAGAACACTATGGTTTTGTCTTTGGTCATGGAGCCCAAATGTCAACAGGTCGGATGCCATTTCTAGTCAAGCCAACTGGTTCAGATGCGTCAACTACGTCGCCAAATACTACGGCCTGTGACATGGCCCCTCCAACTTCTGCGCATTGATCTACCTGCCCCTCCCCTCCCCTCCCCTCACCTCACCTCACCTCACCTCTCCTCTCCTCTCCTCTATTTCCCTTCTGTGATAGTTATCGACCGGTTGTACATAGGTTCACTAAACCTCGCTTACTTAACAAAAAACGCCTAAACAGCGAATTCTTTGAATGCGTGATTGTACATAAAGTGTCTTGCTAAAGATAAATATATATATATATATATATATATATATATTTATTATTGTGATTCTGGAGAGGGTCCTGCAGATTTTTCTACCTCGTCGAATTTCCCCAATTGCGACGGTCTTGGTTTGCTTTCCGCTTTTCCTTTCCCCCCGGTACCAGTATGATGTCTGTGATGATGCGTTTTAATTCTCTCTCTTCTCTCTCTCTCTAATGTATAAAATTTTAACTTTTTTGCACATTGTATGTTTATTCTTTCCTTTTTAAATGGTAAAAAAAATCAGTGGCATGACTAATTGGTAATTGTCTGGCATTTCAAAGTTCATATGCTCGATTCCCATTGTCAGTGAACCCCATTGGTTGGCTCTAAATATTCCATGGTGGCTTACCCTCCCTCCCCTCCCCTCCCCTCCTCCTAGGATGATAATTGGAAAGGTCTATCCCAAATTGGCTTGGGAACTTATTAACTTCTCATAACATGGCAATGAAGAAAACACGATTGGTGTCACTACGTCTCCCATTTTTCTGACTCATCTCTCATATCGGCTGAGATATTGGCTTCGGTCGATATATATCTCTTGAAAGTGGAAGTCGCCATGGATTTGAAATCAATTTTGTCTCGATAAAGCTATGAATGCTATAATTATTAGACAAGAAAACATCAAATAAGTCAAGTAGGATGAGTGAGTGAGAAGTTGAAAATACAGTGAACGTTACAGCATTTGAACTCTTGGGGCATTTAGTTGTTATTTAGATCACGTTTTTATGCTACAAATTTTAGGAGTTAACCTCTAAATTTTTGAGTACGTTCGTGTCTATAACATTCAAGAAATATTTGGCATGTCGTCGGTAGATTTCAGTCCCACTATAACAGCTAGTAAACAAATGACGCCAAGATATCAGGAGTACTATTAAGCTTGGAGTCAGGGCAATGAGTTTGCCATGTCCCTATTAAGAGGTTATGTTCTCGTTAAGTGGTTTCTGTTGACCGATATAACTAACTCCACTAGTTGGCTTTCCCACCTCGCTTTACTCGAACGTCTAATTGCAACTCAGTCGATGTCTGGATTCCAGTCTGTTACTGCCTAAGATTAAATTCAAGTGAGCCATGGCTGATAGTTACGCAAATCATACGAGAACATCCTCGACTCATTATTTATTGCTCCTTACTAAATCACTCCTAGCCGATTTAGCAAAATGGACTAATTGAAATCAAAAGTAGAAAGATTGTGCCTAGGATGCCGAGTGGCTTCACTCGATTAGTAGGAGAAGGCTATGACCTTAGGCGCTTACAGGTTAAATAAATAAGAAATGACAATAAATAACCAGAAAATAGTGTGGAGTTACAGCTTTAAATTTGCCTGACTAAAGTTTCAGCTCAAAAATTGACTTTTGTCATGCAATCTTCAAAAAAAATATTATTAATTATAATTAAGAATTTTGTCGCTTTTTGTCTTTACTTGTCAACTAGACAACAGCCCCCTCCATAGTTAACAAGCGAAAGTACAAATGGTGAATTCTGTGAAAAATTCATTAATTGAAATAGCAGACAGAGTTTCACCCCCAATCAATGCTAAGACAAAAATATTGGTCATCAAAATTTTGGGTGGAAGAGCCTTTCAGTGACACCAAATGGTAAATTATCTTTACCCGTTAGAACTACCTACCGGTTTTGAAGTTACCTCTCACCTTCTTGAAAAGCTAAACAAGCATTTAGTGATCACTCCAAGGGGCTTATTTCTTCCACAAACTTCAAAATAGGCTGCGGTTTGGTTATTATGAATTATTAATTGTCACCTCAATCTGTTTATTAAAGGAAGTAGAAAAAAAGGGTAATATCTTTCTTCCAATTGAAGTCAAGCTACCGTGGATGCAAAGCGTAAATAACACCTTAACTCATTTTCCGCTTCAACTTAATTAACACCCCTAACAGTTCCCCCATTCAGCCTATATTTGGAAGCCAGTAACTATTCTTCATATGGGAAAAAATAATAATTCCAGAATTAAAGGAAGTTTTAAAATGCATGGGTCTGAATATCAATTTCTTCCACCCCCCCCCCTCATCCCCCTTCCAACCTTTCTCCTCCTCCTCCTAATCCTGTTTTGACATTTTCAGACTAATTGACTGATCCCCTCGTTTAAATTCAATTACTTGACTAAAACTTGTAAAAAACATTTTGACTTCAACGGGAATAGTAATATCTTACTTAATCCCTGTTAGTAAGGAGAATATTTTCCAACCAATTTCAAAGCAAATTAATTGAGGTCCCAATTCCAACATCACCGTCAACATGACACACCTTTCTTTCCCACATTAGGAATATGTTGACAGAATTGAATTAGGTCATGACTTCTGATTGACGCCTTAATGGCAACTTATAATTGGACAATTACTTCCTTTGACTTTCTGTGAGAAAAATTCTCTCATAATTTAAAATTAAATAAATTCATTCGAACAGCTCCACTTTAACAACTTAATTAAGTGAAATTATCCTGAAATGCCAGTAATTGGATGAATCTACTATCTGTCTAATGAGATTATTAAAAGCATAAGTTGAAATCGATAAGAGCTTTTGGAATTATTATTTACGCCTCTACTTAATTGTTGAATGACAAAAGTTAGGGCGGAAGTTTTTTTTAAATTTAAACGAGCACACACGAGCTTAATGAGTTTGGATTTGGCTTTTAATGAAACCAAAAATCGATAATACAACACAGGCGGTAGATTATGACAAAACAGCCTTTTTGCAGTTTCTTTACACTGAGGGTCTTTTTGATTTCGAAATCTTCTAAGTAAAGCACAATCAGTTTAAATGTCTTGTTTAATCAGGCTATCTTCACAATTAACCATTTTTGGCACACATTGACCAAGAGTGAGTAATGACAGGGTAAGAAAGAAGATGCCTACTAGTTTAAATAAAAGTAGAAAAAGTTAGAGTTTTGGCATAAAACTGCCCAAATGGAGTTTGGCCAACTGTTTTCTCATTAAGATATCCACAGATAGATTGAGAAGGCGAAAAAAAGAAGAAATTTTAGGCAGGCAAAATTATATTAAATCTTGAATCATTGGCCGAGTAGGTGTATTCAGGATGGGCTTAGTGAAGCAGCGCGCTTCCCAGTCGAGTAATTAAGAAAAATGTCCGAACAGTTAGTCGAAGGCACCATTTCAAATTGAAATTGTTTGGAATGGAAAGTCAGTCCTTCAAAACTTTCAATATTCACAGTCCACAATTATTATTAATATTTTGATATCATTAATATACAAAAAAACTTGAAAATTTTCTGGATACAAATATAAAGTTTATTTTATTTATTTCATATGGCAGGCATTTTAATAGTTATTAATAGGCCTTTAGTTGACCTCGGGCTTCACAGAGAGGAGGAGGGACATCAAAATGGCAAAAGTCGAGGGGTGGGGAACAGAAGAGCGATTCACAGATGTGAAAGAGACAGATAGACACAAAGGCAGAGAAAAGGTGAGGTGAGTACTGTGGAAGTAGTCGGATGAGACATACAACGTGGTCATTGAAGTTTGAAGTCAGAAGTCAACTCCCAGTTAATAGACTTTTTTTGCCGTATGAGGATACGTTGCCCAGGGTGCACCACGTGGAGGTAAGTCTATCGCACACCCTACTGAGCTGGATATAATTTGATAAATAACTTGTTATTGTTACATTCAGTTTAGTGATTTATGAGTACTGATTGCTTCTAATGGATCGGATGGCCTCTTAACATTCCAATGGTCATTTTACCTAATTTAATCCCACTGTTTCTAGTTGAGCTGATATCCACCTGATCAGCTGAATTATTTGAATTGCCAATCATTACATGTTGATTAATATTCACTCTACTAGAGCAAATAGAACAAGCAAAGTTTATCCACTTCACGTAGACTGGAAATCAAACATATATTTGCTGTAACATTGTCTCAGTGAGTGAGTGGTGAATTTGGATCAATACGTCTTGTAGACCCATTTTAGGCCTACCCGTTTGGTTCAACTATTGTTCCCATGTAAATGAGGCTCAAAAATCATACGCTTAGTGAAGCCAATTAATAATTTTTATTTTTTTGTTATTTCCAAATTCCTCATAGTCATCAAAGGCTGTAGGCATTGTTCATTCCTGTCTTATGGTAGCAAATGATTAATAAAAATTTTATAGCCCTCAGTTGGCCTGGAAGAAGATGAAATATAGACTTCTTTAACATGCAAATAAATGTAATTATTTGGGCTTAGGTGTGTGGTAAGTGGTTAGCGCCAAGTTAGTCATTTCTTTAATGGTAGTGTCAAAATCCAATTTGTATTATTATTTCAAATGGCAGGCATTATGAGATTCATCATGGGGGTGTGTGATCGACTTACCTCCACGTGGTGCACCCTGGGCAACGTATACTCATACGGCCAAAAAGCCTATTAACCGGTAGTTGACTTCAAACTATCGGCAAAAAAATTCTATTAACCGGCAGTTGACTTCTGACTTCAACGCAAAAAGGTCTATTAACTGGCAGTTGACTTCTCACTTCACAAAAAAGTCTATTAACCGGCAGTTGACTTCTGACTACTCAAACGGCAAAAAAGTCTATAAACCGGCAGTTGACTTCTGACTGAAAAGGTCTATTAACTGGCAGTTGACTTCTGACTTCAAATAAAAGTCTATCAATCGGCAGTTGACTTCTCACTTCAAACTAAAGTCTATTACCTGGCAGTTGACTTCAAACTACCATGAGTAAGTCTATTAACTGGCAGTTGACTTCTGAGTTCAAACTATCATGACCCCAAGTCTATTAATCGGCAGTTGACTTCTGACTTCAATTACCATGATCTATTA